TGCTCTGGATGTCTGAAGCAGCTCCTGTATGTGTCATCCCCCACAGAGGATGAGGAGCTGCTCCAGCCCCCACCAGCTTACTGGTTAACCTAATGGGAATCCTTTTATTTAGTCTAAACTTTTCCTCTGCATTCCAAGATGGATCCTAGCATCAGGTGACATGGGCACATGTCTCTGCAAGGACCCGGTCTCCATATTCAAGAGCTGACCCACAGATCTAAAGAAAGTTTAAGCCCCATATTATCTTACTAAAGGGCCATTAGTGCTATTTCTGGCTTTTTCGCATGGACTAGTACCTGATGAGCTGATAATAAGGATGTTAGATAGTGATTAATTGAATAGTTGTGTAGTCACATCAAATATTATTGGTTACACGACTATTCGATAGTCCCCAGGGCTGGGGCTGGCAGTCAGTGCACTCCTGGCCCCACTCCCAAGCCCAAGCTCTTCATGGATAGAGACTGTGCTGGCATCCCACGGAGCAGCCTCTGTCCATGGCAAGCCTGGGCCCACTGTGACAAAGGCTGTTCTGCAGCAGCCTCCCCAACCCCCTCCATGCTGCTGCCTCTGATAGAGGCAGCAGCGGGAGGAGACAGGTGGCTCCCCTCCTCTCATTGGCACCTGCATGCCCCTGCTCACTGCCTTTGTGGGAGGCAGTGGGAAGAGGCAAGAGGGTAGGTGGCTCCACGAAGCTGGCACTTAAGGAGAACTGGCTTAAAAGCTGGCTCACCATGTGTTTTGGCTCCCGCCTCCCCCAACCCCATGCTGCTGCTTCTGATACAAAGGCAACAGCGTGGGGAGGAGCAAGGGGCTTCTGTGAGCCCATATACATGGGGAGCTGGCTTCCCACGCATACCAGCTCCTGGCTTCCCATGCGTACATGCTCCCGGCTTCCCATGCGTACCAGCTCCCCACCAGAGACAGCAAGGGTCGGGGCCTTGCGTGTACTCAATAAGATTAACCGATAAGCCCAAGCTTATTGGTTACTAAGATATTTGACTACACTATGACATCTCTAGCTGTGGCAATAGGCTTTTCCCGACATGAACACATTGCTAATAAAGAAACAGTCAGAATTCCTAACTTTAGATACAGAAATGAGATATGCATACAAACAAATAATCCTATTCGGTAGATTACAACCTTTCCTATGACATCTCTCCTGAAGTGTCTTGCATAAAGAATATTCCAGTTATTTCATATGTATGGAATACCCAATCAGAATGATCTTGACACAAGAGCTCTGATTTAGCTGTACATTTAGTATGTCTTCTGGGAGTGAAACTTACAGTTCAGTGAAAGGAGATGACATTTTCTTTGAGGTTTTCATGTGAGATAAGCCCATAGTTCATTATTAGACATGCAGCTGTGATCTGGTAGATGGAGAGTGAGGAGTCCTAGATTCTGTTTCCAACTCTTATTGGTGTTACAACCTTGGGTAAATTGCCATGATTATCCTGTTTGTAAAACGGGGATGGATCTACTGTTTTACTTCCCTTTGTAAAGAGCTTTGAGAGCCACAAATGAAAAGCATTATGTAAGTACAAATTATATCATGTGAACTATTCCTATGGCCTATTATAACTGACCCAGGAGAGAACTACGGGTTAATAATTATGAAGTTGTTTGACTTTCTGCCTTGCTTATAACTTGGAAATGTCCAATAGACAATATTGATCTCATTGGAATATGCCACAGCTGTTTGAAGTGATCAGCGAATTTCTGAGCCTGATGTACATTCCATTACCAGCTCTGGCCTGGAAGTTCTTTTTCATTTGGTAATATTAAATTGCCCAAAGCACTGATGGGGTGTGGCCCAAATCTCAGACAGCAGAGAAGAGCTGGGAGAAAGCAGGGCACTGTTATGAAACTGACTGGTAAATTGGAATCCTGCTGTAAGCACCTATGGGGTGTAGAAAGAGGCATTTATCCTTAACAGATTACTGCATCTCTTGGAAGCTGTGTTGCAGGTATGACTTAATTGTTGGAACTACATAATCTCTCAATAATAAATACATAGAAGGCTTAATGCCTTCCATCAGGAAGGGAAGCTCCCAGCCAAGCAACTTCTAACCAGGTCACAGATGAGCCCCTCCCTCTGTGTCATTTTTATTAATCACTTGAAAAATATGTTAAGTAACAATTAAAACAGCTTGTCAGGCCAGTTAAGAGGAGGTAGCAGTGTGGACCTGAACACCAACACTGCTTTGGTTTCAATTCAGTCAAATGCCAGTCAAATTCATTGACCTGGTGATAATCATCTTCTCAACTAAATGTGTAGTATGATGTTTCTCCATGTGCAAACCTCTCTGCATGCCCTGCTGAATAAGTAAGCCATGCCATTCACCAGTTAGAAGCTCATGGTCCAAAGATGTACCGTCACAGCAAAAACACTTTTGACTCCTCTTTTAGCACTCTTCATTTGTATTCTGTTAGACCCCACGAGGCATAAGGGATTGGTCAGCAAAGGCTTTCCTTGCTGACCAATTCGCGTATTGACTGTTGAGTTGTGCCGACGATCAGCTGAGCCGGCACAACGTGGCAGCCATTTTTTATTTTAACGAAGCAGAGGATATTTAAATCCCCGCTTCATTGACTATGTCGGTATGTCTAATTTACATGCCTCTGCCGGCAGAGGCATGTAGTCTAGACATATCCTAATTGACTGCGGAGGTGTTAACAGACCACTCTGCCTTGAGTAGTCTCTTACAATGTGTCGTAACAGCTTATGTTAAACCTGGAAGTGAAGGCCTTGTCTATGCTGGCAAGTTAAAAGCACAGTAACTCCTGAGGTGTCCATACTGACAAGGCACTTAGTGTGCACTAACTCCACAGTTGCTGCACTCTAGGTAAACCAGCTTGGCAAGAGGCATTGAGCTTGCTGCGATAAGGTACGGCGCTGTGGTGCCAGTGTGGATGCCCTGTATACTATAGCACTGTGACAGGCCTCCTGTATCTGTCCCACAATGCCTGTTCTCACTTCTCTGGTCATCAGTTTGAACCTATTGGCCTTCCATAGACCAAACCTTAGACCCGCCCTTTGCATTCCTTTTGGAATTTTGAAAGTCCTCTTCCTGTTTGCTCAGCGATGCATGGAGTGCTCTAAGCGCAGCTTTCCAGGTGACTATGCCTGCTCCACACACCAGGAGATCCCCTACTTGGTGTCATGCCAAGGTGCTGGACCTCATCAGCTTTTGGGGAGAGGAGGCTGTCTAGTCACAGCTGTGCAGCAGCTGTAGGAATTATGATACCTATGGGCAGATATGTGTGCATGACAGAAAGGGACTCTGATGGGGATGCATTGCAATGCTGGGTCAAAGTGAAGGTGCTGCAAAACATCTACCACAAAGCATGGGAGGCAAACCACTGCTTTTGTGCTGCACCCCACGACTTGCTGGTTCTACCAAGAGCTGGATGACCTATTTGAAGGTGACCCCACCTCTGCTACGAAGACCCCAGTGGATACTTCAAGACCTCAGGAGGGGCCATCCCAGAGTGGATGAGGCCAGGAGGAGGAAATGGTAGACAAAGATGCTGAGTGGGAGGGGGATCTGGAGCTAGAGGATGGGTCAGGATCCACCGACGCATGCAGTCAGGAACTGTTTTCTGCCCTAAAAGGAGACTACTAACCAGTTGCAGCAGTCAGAGGTTAGGAAGGCACAAACAGCAGAGAATGTGTCTAGTAAGTGGCTTTGATTTTTAGAAGTGCTGGAGCAAGTTGCCAAGTGGAGGTGAGCTCATCATATAGTCCCATTAAAATGGCTTTGTTCCTCCAAAATTCTGCAGCCATTGTTTGTCATCCAAGACTTGCTCGACAATGTGATCCCACCATTCAGTGCTTGTTTTGTGAGCCCAAAAGTGGCGTTCCACTGTGGTCACCACCTCAGTGAATGCCACAAGAAATCTTGTCTCAAGTACAAGGCATGAACTCCTCATCGTCACTTTGAAGCTTCAGGGATAACTCGACTGCCATTTGTGACATGTTAGTGACACCTATCAACATTTTCTTCAGCAATTCAGTGTCCATTCCCACAGGGCTGAGGAGACAAAGCGTGCAACACAAAAGCCATTGAAAGATGTTGTCAAAAGCAGACAATAGCACAAGTTGCTGGGATATGCAGCAGTTCCCAACGGGGCATTGGGACAGGACCCAGGATGCCTCATGGCCTCAGTGGCAGAAGAAGAAGAGGTGCTCTGTGGGATAGCTGCCCAGAGTGAACTACTCTAAATGTCACTGCAAGCAAGTGTGGTCATGCTACTGCACTGGCGGCTGACAGTGTGGACACTCAGCAGCGTTTTCACTGTTGCAGTCTGTGAGCAGTGCAAGTGTGGTCATGCTAATTGTAGACAAAGCCTACAAGGAGTTCTGTGTGGCTCAAAAGCTTGCCTCTTTCACCAAGAGACGTTGGTCCAATAAAAGAAATAATTGGAGGGTCATGAGGGATGTATGAATACCTTTTATAGGGCCAACGTCTCTTGGTAAAAGACAAGTTTTTGAGCCACACACCGCTTTTTTTCAGAGCATCATACATCTCCTGGGACAGACATGACTATGACATTGGATTAGGGGCTTCATTCTTGCTAAGTGGACTGGAGCCCCATGTAGCAGAGGGCTAGTTCATTAATTAGCCCTTCGACTCTAGGAAGAGCAGTGTCTTGTTTCATGTCATGAATGGAAATCTATTTTGGGGAAAGTATATAACTTTTTTTATTAGAACAAGTGAGTTGACTTTGTTTCCTACTGGAGTAAGTGAGGTGGGTAAAGCCCCAACTGTTCTGCAATTGTTATGTGCAAGTTACAGAGTGTGGTTGCTAGTGTCTATACCCATCTGATTTCACATCTCCCCTGGAAAGGCTTTCTTCTCATTTAATTTGGGAGCCTTTTTAGCACCTGTCACACAAGCTAACTCAGACTTCCCTCCCTGTGTGAATTTCCCTACTGAATAGTAGTTGTGTGACTGAGTTACAAAGTGAAACCATCTGTATGCATCTCCCTGCAGAGTTAACGAGCTCTACGTAGACGACCCAGACAAAGACAGTGGAGGTAAAATAGAAGTAAATCTGAACATCAGCTTACCGAACCTGCATTGTGAATGTAAGTGTCTCTGACCAGGCCTAGATTTCTTGCAGTATTTCTCAAGGCTCTGAGATGACTCATTTAATGTGAGAGCTGAGAGCAATCCCCATGCTGTATTTTGATTAAATGTTGCTTTTTTCTCTTTGGGAAGAAATAAAAACTCTACCTTGTCCAGTGTATTGTTCCTCCCTCTCTGAATAGTATGAGTGTACAGAGAAGCAGCAGAGGAAAACTTTTCTTAGTGTTCTCATCTCTGTATGGAATCAGTTATGCCCACATATGCACACATCATTGGCCCATATTTACACAATCCATGTGTGGGTGGGAGGTCAGATTTCTGCAATGTAATACCCTACCACTTCCCATTCTGAGGTTATCTTTTTCTTGCACCCTTATCTAGCAATGGATCGTGAGCCTGTTCTCCTTCAGTTCTGACTAGTGACCCATTTCTCTTAGTGACATCTGACTAACTCTGGTTCCTTCTTTCATAGTCTGTTATTTTATGTCTGGAAATAAGAAACCTCTTGAGTTCTATCAGCTCTTTGAGCCAGATGTCACATTTGGCCTTTAGCAAATCACTTAACTTCTCTGCCTCACTTTCTCACCCTGAAAAATGGGAATGAAGCCTACCTCCCACGGGTGCAATGTCTGAATTAATATTCAGAAAACACTTGAAAGCTGAAAAGCTCTTCGGTGATCATTCCATACCGCTGATGAACAGCGATGACATTGATTACTTGAACGATTTTGCCAAATACCAAGAAAACGTTGCTTGTGCCCCACAAGGAATTGTGCATACCGGTTCCTATTGGTAACTTTTGCTATGTTTCTTTCCCTTTTTTCTTATCCCAACTGGGTAGTGGTTGGACTGGACATTCAGGATGAAATGGGAAGGCACGAAGTTGGTCATATTGACAACTCAATGAAAATATCTCTCAATAATGGCGATGGCTGCAGGTTTGAGGGCCACTTCAGTATCAACAAGGTGAGTGTGAATGACATCTGTTGTGGGTGTATGGTGGTTCAAGAGTAGCAGTCAACCCCATATGCAAGTGCACGTGAAAGCCCCACTCTGAATGGCTCTGCACTTATTGTGGTTTCAAATCAGGACATGAGCTTAGCTCCCGGATGCTGCAGCACAGTACAGGTTGAACCTCCCAAACCTGGGAGACTCTGGTCCAGCATCATCCGTTGTCTGGCATGGATGTTGCTGGACCTAGGAGCCAGCTGAGAGAACACAGGGTCCTGGCTGGGCCAGCAATGGCTAGGCAAGGGAACCCCGGCATCAGTGGGGCCAGGCAATATCAGGGACCTTCCCCCCTGCCGGGGAACCCCAGTGTCAGTGAGGCCAATTGACAGCTGGGGAACCCTGGGAACCCCTTGGCAGCAGCGGGGCTGGGATGGCCAGGCAGCCCTGACAGGGAAACCCTCGGCGGTGGGGCCAGGCAGCAGCTGGGGAGTTGCAGCCCCAGCTGGGAAACCCCCAGTTTTGGTGGGGACAGGCGGGCAGAGAGGCCCTGGCAGTGGCCGGGGAACCCTCGGGAGCCCTCGGTGGCAGTGGGGCCAGCAGCAGCCGGACAGCCTGGACCTGGGAAATCCCAAGGTAGCGGGGTTGGCGGCAGCTAGAACAACATGCCAGGTATTAAGTCTTGATTAGTAGAAAATTGCCCTATGTTGTGACCCAAGAGCTCCTTTCATTAAAACAGGCTCTCATATCCTCGGCCGGGTTGGGCAAGATCGTCTCGCGGGCTAGATCCGGGACCCTCAGGCACACACCTGCCACTGTTTTAAATGCTGTTGTAAATACAGGGCTGCTCAGTGTGCCTCTCTGCTCTGGAGGTGAGGGAGGCTTTGTGTGATCTCCAATCCTCAGCTCCTATTGGCCAGACACAGCCAGCCAACAGGAGCTGAGAGATTGACCTGGGTGACAGGGGCAGCATAAGCATAAGCCTCTCCCCTCTCCTGGAGCTGAGAGCCACATGGAAGGAGCACCTGCATTTTCAAGCGGTCTGGGGCTGCAGCAGGCAGGGAGCCCAGCCTGCCTTTGGGGTGCTATTGGGCTGCTGGCCGGGAGATGCTTAGGTAAGCACCTCTCGGCCAAAGTGTGCCTCTGGCACCCCCACCCCTCACACACCCCAACTCCCTCCCCAAGGTCACCATCCAAACCCTCTGCACGCCGCTGCCTCGGGTCACCATTCCCTCCCAGATCTTGTACATCCTCCTACACCCTTCCCCCAAGCCAGAATCCTCTCCTGCCACCCATACCCTCTCCCTAACCCTACACCCCAATCCCCTGACCCAGGTCAAAACCCTTTCCTTCACCCAAACTCCATCTCAGACCTCACACTGTCTTGCACCCAAATCCCTTACCCCGTGCGCCCTTCTGCACCCAACCTCCATCCCAGACCCTTCCTCTCCTCCGCAGAAAAGTGCGGCCCTTGACCACTTTCCAAAATCTTGGAGTGGCCCCCCCACCAAAAGTTATTGCCAATGCAACCTCACTGCTGTGTTTGTCCTCCGTAATCACAGCCTCTCCAGTACATAAGAACATAAGAACGGCCGTACTGGGTCAGACCAAAGGTCAATCTAGCCCAGTAGCCTGTCTGCCAACAGTGGCCAGCACCAGGTGCCCCAGAGAGGGTGGACCAAAGACAATGATCAAGCGATTTGTCTTCTGCCATCCTTCTCCAGCCTCTGACAAAGAGAGGCCAGGACCACCAATTCTATCCCCTGGCTAATAGCCCTTTATGGACCTAACCTCCATGAAATTATCTAGCTTCTCTTTAAACTCTGTTATAGTCCTAGCCTTCACAGCCTCCTCTGGCAAGGAGTTCCATAGGTTGACTACACGCTGTGTGAAGAAGAACTTTCTTTTATTAGTTTTAAACCTGCTCCCCATTAATTTCATTTGGTGTCCTCTAGTTCTTCTATTATGGGAACTAATAAATAACTTTTCTTTATCGGCCCTCTCCACATCACTCGTGATTTTATATACCTCTATCACATCCCCCCTCAGTTTCCTCTTTTCTAAACTGAAGAGTCCCAGTCGCTTTAACCGCTCCTCATATGGGACCCATTCCAAACCCCTAATCATTTTAGTTGCCCTTTTCTGAACCCTTTCCAAGGCCAAAATATCTTTTTTGAGGTGAGGAGACCTCTCCTCTCTCCTATTCCAAGAATTGCAGAACAATTAGAATGTTCCCCACTGGGGCATGGCAGCTTGACAGAAAAGGCTCTGCGTTTAAAGGGGTGGAATGAACATGTGCGCATGCACACACGTAAGTGTTGTGTAGAAATGGAGCTCTGGCATGCTCTGAGGGAATGAATACACAGGCTTAGGGAGGTTCCTCTCTGGCATGGGTGTGTTCAGAATTGGATACTCTTGCTATGTAATGCTGCAGATGACTAAATGGGGTGGGAGATTTGGAGGGTGTGGCACACTGGCAGCTTTATTCACGCCTTGTAATGTACCACAGAGGCAGCCAAACCCTGCTTCCTTCTCCCCTCCCAAACCATGTTAAATCACATCTAAAAATAACAGGCAGAGCCCCTTACTTATGTTATGGCATGAATATGATTAGCAACTAACTTATTCCTTGAAGCATAGTGTTTTTTCATCTCTACCCCATTGAGAAGCTAGTGAGAGTGATGACTGACTAGCTACTAAACTGGGATTAGGGCTCAGTGCAGTTTCATCTTTTTGTTCTGAAAGTCTGAGAGCTCTCAGGTTTTTTTGAGTAATATGTCACTCCTGGGATGAGGATAGGGGGTGTCATTAGCAGCAAGGTTCAAAACCCAGGGGCTTTGGCTCTAAAAGCATAAACCTCTATTGCTTGAACTAGGGATGTAAGCAGCTAGTCTGCTATCCGATATGCATAAGCTTATTAGATAGTTGACTAGTCCCTCAACTAGTTGTTTCCCCAGGGTGGGAGCAGGAGCTGGTGCTGAGGGGAGCCAGCTTGAAAGCCAGTTCCCTCCAGCACTGTGTCCGTGGGGGCAGGGGAAGCAAGGTGGATAGTGGGGACCAGGAATGAGCCAGGAATCAGCTGATTCCCAGCTCGCACCCAGTCCGAGAACGTTGCCGGCTCTTAATACATTTAAAAGGCAGAGCCCCACTCCCCTGCTTATCGACTAGTCGATTAAACTAAATTTAACATCCCTAGCCTGAACTAAAAGATCCCAGTTTGTTAGCAGAAAAGCTCTATGGAGTTATGAACGTCTGTGGCCCAGGGGACAAGGCACACTGTGTAAACATGCATTAATTTGTATTATGGTAGGGTCTAGAGGCCACAGTTGGAGATTTAGGTCCCATTCTGCTAGATACTGTACACACACATTTTTGGGTGGGTGGGTGAGTGTCTGTCTGAGTCCATTTGTTCATGAACTCCTCCTAAACAGTAAGAGCTAGAGCCATCAAATTTGGTAGGCAGCTTCCTCTTCTCCTAACTTAAAGCAAGGTCAGGGGTTGAATGTGCCAAGGCAACTGAAAGCCCCAGGAAAAGGACAGCTTCCATAACATGCAAAGGGAGAGGCTGCTATTCCAAGGGATATGATATGAGAGTGGCCACTGGAGGTAGTGAGCCCACAGTGGAGAGAGATCCTGCACAGTGTCCAGTGGGGGCAGCCATACCACCAAAGGAGTGGTCAGCAAGCCTGGGGCTTCACCGTCTTGCCTGCCAGCACTCCAGTAAGTAGCCCCCCTTCTCCAAACCTTTTCCCCTCTCCCGGCCCTTGGCTGCAACACTGGAGGATAGGAGAGACCAGGCCCCTGGGGAGTGGTCTTGAGGGGGTGCCCTGGCAGGGTGGAGGCGGGTAGAGAATAGGCCCTGCGTGGTCTGGGGAGGTGGCCTGGAAGGCGGGGAAAGAACAGGTGCCGGGGACAGTGGCCTGGGAGGGTCAGGGGAAGAACAGGCCCCAGAAGCAGTGGCGCAGCCTCCTGCAACCCCATCCCCACCTCACATCCACAAGGCCCTGCACTGAAGGATCCAGGCAATTCCAGGTAAGTCTGCTCTGAAGTCATAATCTTATAGTCACAGGTTCTTATCCTGCAAACAGCTACACCTCTGTGATCTCTATGTATGTGTTAGTCCTGTTGACTTCAGTGAGACTGCATGTGTGTGTGTGTAGTTAAGCACATGCTTAACAGTTTGCTCTGTTGAAGTCTATATGTGTGATAGCGTATGGCAAGACAACAGGTGGGTACAACAAATGAATGGGAGAGAGTGCAGAAAGTAGCAGTGAAATGAGTCTGCTTGTAACACATATTGTGTGCCTGTGTTCCTGATGGTGCCCAAGTGTTCATACCTTCATTTGCATTAAACTTGCTCTGATTTAAACCTGTGGTTCTCAAACTGTTGTATTGGGGACCCCTTTCACAAAGTGGGCTCGTCTACACTGGCCCCTTTTCCGGAAGGGGCATGTTAATTTCAACTATCGTAGTAGGGAAATCCGCGGGGGATTTAAATATCCCCCGCGGCATTTAAATAAAAATGTCCGCCGCTTTTTTCCGGCTTTTAGAAAAGCCGGAAAAGAGCGTCTACACTGGCCCCGATCCTCCGGAAAAAGCACCCTTTTCCGGAGGCTCTTATTCCTACTTCAAAGTAGGAATAAGAGCCTCCGGAAAAGGGCGCTTTTTCCGGAGGATCGGGGCCAGTGTAGACGCTCTTTTCCGGCTTTTCTAAAAGCCGGAAAAAAGCGGCGGACATTTTTATTTAAATGCCGCGGGGGATATTTAAATCCCCCGCGGATTTCCCTACTACGATAGTTGAAATTAACATGCCCCTTCCGGAAAAGGGGCCAGTGTAGACGTAGCCAGTCTGTTAGCAAAACAAGTGCAACCCTCCCTTTATTAATTAAAAATATTTTTTTTATATGTACACTATTATAAATGTTGGAAGTGAAGCTGGGTTTGGAGGTGGAGGCTGACAGCTCATTATCTCCACCGAACCCCCAAGAGGTAATGACTCCCAGTTTGAGAACCCCTTATCTAAGCTAACCACCATGTGGCCTTCCCTACCTCCCAGTTCCTTATATGCCAGTCTCCACTGTTGCAGAATCTATTCAGATCATTACTATAATGACTCCAGTGGTGTAATAAACCACCCACTACTGTCCTACAATGCATCAGTTGTTGCTAAGTGTTGCCAACCACATTACTCAAGATCCTTTTGTTCTGAGACCAAATCATTTGCACTGAGCTGTCAAGGAAGATTTACATGGCCCTTCCAGAGCAGCGGTTGCATTGATTTTGAAATACTTCATGGTGCAGTTCTGGTAATCGCATCCTAAAGTGTCTTTGAATTCCAGAATGATCCAAGAAGAAACTGCATCAGAGCAGTCTGCTTTACACTGTCATGGCAACTGAAGCTTAGGTGAAATCTGGGTATGCAGAAGTCTGTTTCCCTAAATTAACAAAATAATCTTGTTCTTGAAGGGGACACTGTCTGGATTGGAAGCTGAAAATCTAACCAGTTTGTATGTATGGGAAGCTTCTAACTCTTTTAAATATCTACATCTGCTTCCTTCTATTCTAAACCTTTTTGAACAGAACATTGCACATGAGTAACACCAGAAGAAAACAGGACTTTTCCAGGCAGCTGAACAATAATGGGCACACACATAAGTATGAGTTTGGGGGGAAAAAATTAAGACAATTATTTTTTACCTTTGGCAGTCCTGAATCTTCATTTTGATGAGGGATGGAAAGGTGTGTCTTAAGTCTTGAAATCTGGAAATGTTGGTCTGTTTTGTTGAAAACGTCTAACATGCTTGTGCAATGTTATATCAGGGCACTGGGCTCTTGTATTTTGGGATTTATGCCAATCTCCCCTCTCTTTGCAGCATTGCCTCACTGGCCAGGTGCATTATGGGCTTTCAAACTTTCTTGGAAACATCAAGTATTGGCCACTGCTAGACTACATGGGTCTATGGTTTTATCCTTATAGTCCTATTTTATGTTGTGATACTTAATAATGCCCAAGGAAATAAAATAGAGTCATGTGTTTCTTTTGTTTTTGTTCTTGAATGATTGTGTGACTGTAGGTTCCAGGTAACTTTCATGTGTCAACACACAGTGCCACTGCGCAGCCTCAGAATCCTGACATGACGCACATCATTCACAAACTTTCATTTGGGGACAAGTTACAGGTGAGTCTTCCCTCCAGACCATCTTGCTGTCTACAGCGGCAGAGGAACCAGTCTTATTTGTACTAAATTGTAGAGTGTTTTACAGAAGAGCTGTGTGTGGTGTGGGAGGGCAGGGAGCAGCTGTGTTCCCATTGACAGTATAGAACTTTAAGTGTCTGTGGCTGTGTTTCATCTAGAGATCTCACAGTGCTATTGACTAGGCGGGTAGGTAACCCTATCCTTGCTATATAGATGGTGACTGGAAATGGAAGCACAGAAAGGTTGTGATGTCACTGGCATCACTAGGATTAGAACCTAGGAATCTTGCCTCCAGGTTCCCTGCTACAGCACTTGGCAAGTTGCTTTGAATATGCATTTTGTACATGCATTTTGTAGTGGCTTTGTGGAAGTTAGGCATGTACATCAAGGGCCTACAATATCACAGAAGTGATTGATGGTTGAGCACATATAGTACTGCAACAAATTCTATTATAGCCTCTTTCCTTCCATTATGCTTCTAAGGGAGATCAAAGGTTTAAAAGGGAGACCTCTAGCAACTTCCCCTTTCTCACAGGGCAAATTGAGCTTTTGCTGAAAGCTACCAGCCTGCAGCTGGAAGAGAAGGTGAATATATACATTTGCCCGATGGCTTGGGTTTCACCTGGTGTGCTGTATGTTATGTAATTCCTGACTTCTCAATGGAGACAGCACATATCCCTGCATCTCTGCAACCTGCTTCCAGAAAGCTGACTTCATAGGGGTGCATGCTATACCTTTTCCATGGCATACCCACTGACATGGCTTAAACATAGCCTCTCTAATCCTGGTTTCTTCACACACACACATTTCGTTACGCTTCTTCCTCTTCCACGCATGCCTGCTTATGCCAAAATCTTTGTAATGCTAATGAGTCTAAAGTGTTGCTTGGTATTCCTCTATTTCATTCTGCTCCTGCTTCCTTTAGGAGACATGTCTTGTGTTGAAGCATTGAAATATTAGTGTATTGACTAATTGGTTTAGTGTCTGTAAAGCACTTTTGACAGTACAAAAAAAAAATCTTAACTGTTATAAACATGGTTGTCCACTCTTAACAGGTAAGTACTAATAGGGACTGCTGCTGACTGCATGGGAAGTGTGTCCTGAATGGTATGGTTCCCACTGCTGCATCCTGCTGTCTTTGGAGTGTTGGCATGAATGTGGTGGGAGGGCTGGGCAGATGGGGGGCTATAAGCATGGAGTAGAACAGGTTGCAGACATTGCGTCCCCCAGCATAGACGCATTTAGTACATTGTATAGTCTGCAAATCTCAGATGTAGTTGGCTGTCGATTTGTGTCCATACAAGCTGATTCAGAGTTCTCAAGCCTCTAAGTAACATGCTGTTCAGACACCTCTGCCTCTTCATACATGTGCCTCTGGCTCAGTAAGCAAAACCTATGAGCGAAAAGGCCTGAGACCTGGGAGATGTTTACTATTCTGTAGCTAGCTAGACTGAGCAAGCAGTAGTGAGAGCCACTGAGGGTAGGGCTACGCTGCAGCAGGAGTGTGCTTCCTAGAGCAGGCACCTAGATGTGCTAATTCTGCTTGAGCTACTGTGCTAGAAACAGCAGTGTAGCCATGGCAGCATGAACAAGCAGCTCAAGCCAGCCAACCATGCACCATCTGATCTCCTGGGTATGTACCTGAGTGGTGGCTAGCTTGAGCCACCCACACAGCCACCTTGTTTCTTCAGCATGGTAGCTGAAGAAGAGCTAGTGTGTCTGCACTGTGGGAAGCATGCTTCCAGCTGCAGTACAAGATGTATCCAGGGAGATTTTGTGGGGAGGGGGGGAGGTATTTGAATGTGATCTGGATATAGGTGACCAGATTGGAGGATGGGTGGGAAATGGTGGTAATACTCACCCAAGCTGTGCCCACAAAATAAGCTCTGCCCATGTGAGTCACCAAAATGAAACACTGCTCACTGTAAATGTTGATGATGTTCGAACTATGATTGTGAAGCTCCGTGGACTTAGCTCCTGCTCAGTTTGGGATGTGGTTCAGGGAGGGGATATCTTTCAGGCACCCTCTACTTGTGGCACAAAAATGTGACCTTTTTCCTCCGTAAACTGTGCAGGTCTGGGATCCTCACTCTTTGTTTACACAGAAGAATGAAATAATTTAAATGGCAGTTGTTGGCATTGTAATTATGCCTTATGGAACCCTAGCTCAAAAAACATTATACCTAGATCTTATGGGTGTCTGACATTGGAAAACTTGGGGAATGTCTCCCCAAGTCTGTTGTTTGTGCCTTGACTATGTGCTGTTGTACATGGCCTTGTCCCATCAGTTTTAGCACTGTTTCAGCTGAATTGTCATTAAAAGAGATGATCACCACAGTTCAGATAAGGACCCACCACTCAATTTTTACTAATATTGTAGCTGTGCCTTCTGAAAAGCAAGTCTGATTGAAATATACATTGTGCTGCCATGTTGCAGTGGTGGAGCTTGATTGCACTGGTGGATCACTTGTAGTTCAGCCAGCAGCTCGTATAAATCCTCTTTAGATTATGTAGAGATCACCATGATTAGGGAGACTCCTGCTTGGAGGCTGCCTCCAAAGTACCCCCAATATGAGGATACTTCTGCTTCACTATTAATTCCTTTGTGTAGTCACTTGTGTGTGGCTCCTTTTGGAGAAGGGAAGCATTCAGTGTTGTCTTTAAAGTACCTGATTCCATTAGGATTCACCTATTAACCTACTCTGCCCTCTGAGCTGATGATTGAGACTTCATGTTCCCTGCCAGGACTTGTACTGAACATTGATACTGAAGGAGTGATTGGAAGAGCTTGCTCTATCATAACAGGTGCCATCTTTCAGATGAGACCTTAAAGTAATATCCCTTCTGCCTGTCTCAAAGGGCTTTCCTAGTGGAATTTTGACTGCTGTCACCTGTATCAAGAAGGGTTAGAGTTAATAAGGCTGTAGCCAAATCAAATATTCTACCTTCTGTAGATGATCTAATGTTCAAGGTTTGTGTAAGCTATAAAACAGAATGTGGTCTGCCTGCCCAATTACTGTACTGCTGCTATCCAGCTCAGCGCTGTGTAAGCTTTGTGAGATACCAGCACTCTGGAAGGCATTCTAGACAACCTATTTGTGCTCCTGATTATATTGGTCATCTTACATGTGTCCATCCAGTTCAATTTGATGAGAAACAAAGAATTTGCCGTGCTAGAATTTTCTTTTCTAGGATATTGATAGGGTATCTTGTATAAGAACAGCCATACTGGGTCAGACCAAAGGTCCATCTAGCCCAGTATCATGTCTTCCGACTGTGGCCAGTGCCAGGTGCCCTAGAGGGAATGAACAGAACAAGTAATCAACAAATGAGCCACCCCTGTGATCCTTTCCCAGCTTCTGACAAATAGGGACTAGGGACATCATTCCTGCCCATCCTGGCTAATAGCCATTGATGGACCTAACCTCCATGAATTTATCTAATTCTTTTTTGAACCCCATTAAAATCCTGGCCTTCACAACACCCCCTGGCAAGGAGTTCCATGGGTTGACTTAATAGTTTGTTTCTTTCCCAAGCTATCTTACTGTAGAATAGTGATCAGGGAAACATGCTGTAGGATCAGGCGGATGTGCCCTATGCAGTCAAGTGCTTATGGCTGTTAGGTAGCCAATTCAAACTAGTTCAGTGACTTGTTAATGCAGTGACAGCTAGAAGGACACAACTCTCCCTCCAAACAAAACTGTTTATCTGTTCACGAGGTTTAAATATTCAGTAATTTCCAGCTAGTGGATATCTGCATATGTTACCACTGCAACCCTCTGACTACAGCTGCAAGATCTCTGTAAAGCTTTCACCATCCCAAAAATTTCCCAAGGCAGTCATTCTATACTGGATTTTGGTCCTTATTGTTTTCAACTAATTCCATTAGCCTCTACCTGAGAGGAGCAGGAAGTAATGGGAAAATCCAATTGATCTTTGGTGAGAGAGTTGGAAATGCCTCATGTTTGCAGTTCTGGAATCAGCTACTAAGGAATGCTAAATGGATGACCTTGCTGGCACATCTCCTTCCCCCCCTCCAAGATATATTGTGTATTGTGTGTTCTAGGGATGTGTCTGAGTGAAAGCTGTAGAGAGCAGGCAGCTCCATGTTCTACTCTGAAGCTTTGAAGTGTGACTCCTAGCGGGTTATGGTCTCTACATTTGATTTGCATGTGATAAAATGATGAGAGTTTGCTAGTGCAAGCTTTATTCTCCAGCTGGGAGATTGATTCTAATTATGGGGTGAGAACACCACCTACCAACACAGGCTGGTGTGTGGTGATATCATACTTTGCCATGGAGACTCACCTCAAAACTGAGGAAGTGGGTCTGGCCCACGAAAGCTCATCACCTAATAAACCATCTTGTTAGTCTTTAAAGTGCTACATAGTCCTGTTTTTTTGTTTCTCAAAACGTCAGACTGACTTGTGTTTTCCAACCAGTCACCTCCAATCTAAGAGTGCTCCCTGGACTGAAGCAGTTTAGAATGGACATTAATATTAACTCTTTTGAAGGTTGATCTTACTACACCAGTTGGAGCCAACCTTTGTAATAGTCACTGAGAATAATTTGGACCTTTTTCCTCTGAGTTGAGACTTTACATTTGGTTAGACTGAGCCAGACTGGAGCCTTCAGAGGTACAAAAGTAAAAGCCAAAAACACCAAAGTGTCACTCCCAGGATAGAATATAACCCCTGTATGTGTATTCTTACTCTCCAGGTCCAGAATATTCATGGAGCTTTCAATGCCCTGGGAGGAGCGGACAAGCTCAGCTCAAACCGTATGTATTATCTGTGCTTTCAGGGCTTAGCCAGCCTGCTGATCATGGGCAACGGCAAAATAAAAATCAGGATATTAATACAACACTGATAAGGGGGTCAGATAAGCAAAAGGACACAGGCATCAGTGAATGGGATTTGCATTTCCACTCCTGGCTCTAGGGAAGGCTTAGCCCACAGGGTCCTTAGCTACCTCCTTTTTTGCATCCTAGACTTTGTATTCTCTGCCTCTTGATTATGATCACTGGCTACAAGAGGGACTTGCTGGGTTGTAGCAAATCTGAACAGGCAGCTTATGGTATTTGCATCTGTCTGTTGCTCTTCTTGTCCTTACTCATTTGTGATTGCTACCACCAGAATCACCCCATCCTTTACTAATAGCTGTCAAGAGCTCTCACACTTCTTCAGGGGCACACAATTTTTCACTGGCTAATATAGTCTTTCCCTTTCTAATCCATAGCCCTTGCATCTCACGATTATATCTTGAAGATAGTCCCCACTGTGTATGAAGATATGAATGGCAAACAGCGGTATTCATACCAGTATACTGTAGCAAACAAGGTAAGGCTAGATGTGACGATTACAAAGCCTTCCCCGGGGAAGAAAAACCCAATGAGTTCAAGGCTAGCTCTTGACTTACAAAACTCATCCATAGAATTGCTATTGTGTTCTGTTATAGCTCATGTGTGTTTGGTAGGTATGCAGTAGCCCCTGCTGGAAGAGAGAGGCGCTGAATTGCTTTAGAGTGAGGACTCTTGCAATCACCTCTTCTGTACTTTAGCAGCAGCTACTTTATAGTAGCATGAGACTTTTTCTTAGTGACTGGTGTTAATTATCCTTTGTCTGGAGAATTGTTGCCTTGCAGCTGACTCTCTTATATGACCCAAGTCCCTATATGTTGCATCGAAAACCATCACACCCTGAAGTAATTCTAGATCCCACCCCGTTCTTTCTTAAAGGGGTTTCATGGAGACTTACTGCCTGGTACTCCTGTTTTTACCATGTGGGATCCTGGCAGTGCCATTCCAATGACTGAATTGGTTGGGGACTAATTATTTTCCCTTTAAAGAGCCTTTGGACTCTGAAAAAAAAAAAGATTTTAACACAAATAGTGAACTAAATGTGTGGTTCATGGGGTATGGCCCTTTGCAAATCACTCGAAGGTGGGCAAGGTTGTTACTCCTAGTGTCTGTATGTGTGTTTGTGTGGGACATTCTTGATTGCATTGGGCCAGTGGTGCATCAAGTGGCTCTTGCTTCCCTTCAGATCTGACACATGCAGATTTTATTGTGTCCTTCCTACTTGAGAGCCCACGGTTGCTATTCTGCTAAAATATCCCCTCGTTTATTGTGTTCTCAGAAGCTGTGCCAAGAGCAATAGTCTCCTGTGCTTTCTGGTTGTTCTGTACAGGGTGTCCTGAGGGATTGGATGGTGTTCTTTCCTTAGAAAGAATGTATTCTTTCTGTTTAATGTCACAGTCACTGTTCTGATAAGACTATCTTGCAACACAAGTTTTGAAATTAATTAGGAAAATGCTCTTGATACTTCTGTGAGCAGGATTGCAATTGGGGCCCTCTGCCAAGATTGAATCATCAGGGCTGTTGGTGAGGGCAGCAGTAAGGAAAGAAAAAATGATGTCAGTTCTGTCAAAACTGTCAAAACCAGAGTGCAGGCCAGTGGAGCTTCATTTGCATTTTCTGTGCATTTAAAAAAGGTCTCTGATTACTGCTTCTGCTCTCGACTCCCATACTGTTAAGAGGGAAGCAGGAATCGAAAGGAAGTCTTTGGAATAATCTGGCCTAGATGCCCTAGCATGAGGCGATTCTCTACTATGACGGAGATGAGTGTGGACTGTGTTTCTCCTCTCCCACATTATCTCCTAGATCTTCTGTTTACTCTCCACCCAGAGACACCTGCACGGTTCTGTCATCAACCAACTGGTTTCGCTAGGAGCACTTAAAACATGCTGGTAGATCCTCTTCTGTTCTGACTATTGAAGCTCAGTCCTCTAAGAGGTTTCAAAAGGGAGAAAAAAAATCCCTGTGGGTTCAATAGTGCTGCTTCAGTTGGTTGCCTCTTGCTTTGCTAAGAAGAAATCCTCCTTTTCGTGTTGTACTCGTGGACACCCCTTTGTTAATCTTTCATCCATCTCTCTAGGGTTCTTGTCCCTACCTCCTGAAGAGTTGGGTCAATCAGCCAAAACTGGCGCGCATATCACAGGTATAGGGAAGGGGTATTTGCTGAGATCAGAGCTGGAATGTTCAGGGCATGCTCAGGTTTTTCTCAAAAGATTGCTGTATCCCAAAGGTAATTCTCCATGATTTGTTTATCTGTCAACGAATGTTGAGAGCACAGTTTAAGTATTATACAGCAAAACAACTAAATGTCGCCTTTGAGACCTGGTAGGACTAAGATGTATTTGCAAATCAGGTTTTAAGAACATAAAGACCATACTGGGTCAGCCCAAAGGTCCATCTAGCCCAGTATCCTGTCTGCTGACAGTGGCCAATGCCAGATGTCCCAGAGGGAGTGAACACAATAGCTAATCATCATGTGATCCCTCTCCTGTTATCCATTTCCAGACAAATAGAGGCTAGGGACACCATTCCTACCCATCCTGGCTAGTAGCCATTGATGGACCTAACCTCCATTAATGTATTTAGCTCTTTTTTAAACCCTGATAAATTCCTAGTCTTCAGAACCTCCTCTGGCAAGGAGCTCCATAAGTTGACTGTGTGCTGCATGAAAAAAAAAATCCTTTTGTTTGTTTTTAAACCTGCTATCTATTAATTTCATTGGGTGACTTCTAGTTCTTATGTTATGGGAACAAGTAAATAACTTTTCTTTATTCACTTTTTCACATCAGTTATGATTTTATAGATCTCTATCATACCTCCCTCCCCCCCCCTTAGTCTCCTCATGTTCTAAGCTGAAAAATCCCATTCTTTTTAATCTCTCTCTCTCTCTCTCTCTCTCACTCACTCACTCACTCACTCACTCACTCACTCACTCACTCACTCACTCACTCACTCACTCACTCACTCACTCACTCACTCACTCACTCACTCACTCACTCACTCACTCACTCACTCACTCACTCACTCACTCACTCACTCACTCACTCACTCACTCACTCACTCACTCACTCACTCACTCACTCACTCACTCACTCACTCACAGACTCATTCCAAACCCTTAATAATTTTTGTTGCCCTTCTCTGAATCTTTCCCAATGCCAATATATCTTTTTTGAGATAAAGTGACCACATCTACACGCAGTATTCAGGATGTGGGTGTACCATGGTTTTATATGGAGACAATAAGTTATTCTCTGTCTTATTCTCTATTCCTTCTTTAATGATTCCTAATGTTCTGTTTTGACTGCTGCTGCAAACTGAGTGGATATTTTCAGAGAACTATCCACAATGACTCCAAGATCTTCCTCTTGAGTAGTTGTAGCTAAATTAGTCCCCATCATATTGTATGTATAGTTGGGATTATTTTTTCCAATGTGCATTACTTTACAATAAATTTAATTTGCAATTTTGTTGCCCACTCACTTAGTTTGGTGAGATTGTTTTGGTGCTCTTCACAGTCTACTTTGTTCTTAACTATCTTGAGCAGTTTAGTAACATCTGCAGATTTTGCCACCTCACTGTTTATCCCTTTTCCAGATCATTTATAAATAGGTTCAGTAGGATTGGTCCCAGGACAGACCTTTGGGGGAACACCTCTCTCTATTCTGAAAACTTATTATTTATTCTTACCCTTTGTTTCCTGTCTTTTAACCAGTTATCAGTCCATGAGAGGACCTTGCCTCTTATCCCATGACAACATACTTCACTTGAGAGAAGGCTGAAGTTTAATAAAGACAAATGCCAAGTGCTTCACTTAGGAAGGAACAATCAGTTTCACACACACAGAATGGGAAGTGACTGTCTAGGAAGGAGTACGGCAGAAAGGGATCTAGGGGTTATAGTGGACCACAAGCTGAATATGAGTCAGCAGTGTGATGATGTTGCAAAAAAAGCAAACATGATTCTGGGATGCATTAACAGGTGTGTTGTGAGCGAGACACGAGAAGTCATTCTTCCGCTCTACTCTGCGCTGGTTAGGCCTCAGATGGAGTATTGTGTCCAGTTCTGGGCACCGCATTTCAAGAAAGACATGGAGAAATTGGAGAGGATCCAGAGAAGAGCAACAAGAATGATTAAAGGTCTAGAGAACATGACCTATGAAGGAAGGCTGAAAGAATTGGGTTTGTTTAGCTTAGAAAAGAGAAGATTGAGGGGGACATGATAGCAGTTTTCAGGTATCTAAAAGGGTGTCGTAAAGAGGAGGGAGAAAACTTGTTCATCTTGGCCTCTGAGGATAGAACAAGAAGCAGTGGGCTTAAACTGCAGCAAGGGAGGTTTAGGTTGGACATTAGGAAAAAGTTCCTAACTGTCAGGGTAGTCAAACACTGGAATAAATTGCCCAGGGAGGTTGTGGAATCCCCATCTCTGGAGATATTTAAGAGTAGGTTAGATAAATGTCTATCAGGGATGGTCTAGACAGTATTTGGTCCTGCCATGAGGGAAGGGGACTGGACTCGATGACCTCTCGAGGTCCCTTCCAGTCCTAGTATTCTATGATTCTATAAGAACCTTTAGTGAGGGGGCCTTGTTAAAGGCTTTCTGGAAATCTAAGTACAGGCAGTCCCCGGGTTACATGGATCCGACTTACATCAGATCCCTACTTACAAACAGGGTGAGGCAACCCCACTAGCTGCTTCCCCCCAGCAGACCAGGGAGACACAAAGCTAGCACCCCTCCCAGCAGACCAGGGAGACGTGCAGCGGCTTTTCTCAGCAGACACCTCAGCTTGAGAATAAAGGACTGAGGGAAGTGAGGTGTGGGAGAATAAAACTGAGCTCTGGAGAAATGTTTGGCTAGAGTTTCCCCTACAATATGTACCAGTTCCGACTTACATACAAATTCAACTTAAGAACAAACCTACAGTCCCTATCTTGTACGTAACCCAGGGACTGCTTGTTGACCCCTTAAAAAAAAAAAACAGTAGATTAGTAAGGCATGATTTCCTTTTACAGAATCCATGTTGACTTCCCCCAACAAATTATGTTCATCTATGTGTCTGACAGTTTTAGAACTCCCTTTCACGGTGCTGCTTTCTCCGTAATTGTGGATGATCTGTATCTTGTTGGAGAGCTGTTCTTTGGCTGATACTTCACATGTACCTCCTCTAGAGGAAGCGAATTAAAGGATGCTGTCCAGAGTGGATCTTAGAGTGTCTCTACCAAACAGATTTTAAATGGTGTTTGCAAATTCTCTGATACATTGGTCCCTAACTTGCCTAGAGCAAGTTTTTTAATTTGGTTTAAACACAGCTTTGTCCCATTTGCATTGGACAGGCAAAAAGTGTTAACTGTTTGGTGAATGGGGCCTCAGACACAGGAAATGCTTTGTTGTTGTGAATGCATGGGGCAGGCAGACAAGCTGGTGTAAATCAGATTCCCTTTGTATTGCTTAACTAACCAGTGGGTTAGCTGCAGTTTAGTTATGATAGTGCTAGAACTATGTTAGGGATGTTAACAGTTAACTGGCTGACCAGGAAGCATCACTCTTAATGAGGTGATGCTTACCAGGTAATGCTTAACCAATACCCAGGGAGCAGGCCCCCGCCAATGGCCTGCTGCACGTGCAGGGCTGCTCTAGCCTCCCACTCAATCGCCATCTCTGCCGGCCCCACACATGCTGGGAGCAAGCAGGAAGCAGCCAGGCTGGAGTGGCCCTCCTGCCCACACCTATTGAATCAGTTAGCTGGTGAAACGCAACGTTTCACTGGTTAACAAATTAAACGGAATTTTACCTCCCTACTGTATGTACAACAACTTGGAAAATCCATGTATCCATGTGGAGCTGATCCAAAACTGCCCTTTTCATTGACTGCAGCGGGCATGATTAGGATCACACCAAGTGGCATTTGGTGTTCCATACCGTATCACCAGGCTGTGAGTATTGTTGAGTATAGTCATTCAGAAATGAGCATGTTACTTTTTTAGTACAATCATTATGGGTAATTATGGTCTCCTGATACTATGTTGAATTTTCCCCAATAAGTAACAGTAGAATGAGGAGCACCCCAGTGTGAAAGAAATCAGTTCTGAGATCAGCTTCTTTGAAATAAAATTGTTCATGCTTTCTGCCTTTGTCTCTCCCCATTCTTTTTTCCAGGAATATGTTGCCTATAGTCACACTGGCCGCATTATCCCTGCTATCTGGTTTCGCTATGATCTGAGCCCCATCACAGTGAAATATACAGAGAGGCGGCAACCTTTGTACAGGTTTATCACATCGGTGAGTTACTTTAGGTCTGTGACTCTTCCTTGGCCTCTCCTGCTTTTCCCCTGCTCTCCTTGCCCATTCAGGGAACTTAGAAAAACAACAAATGGTCCTGCAGCACCTTAGAGATTAACAAAACATGTAGATGGTATTGTGGGCACCAACCCACTTCCTCAGATGAACTGAGTTCCTGCAACAGAGTGCTAGGACATGAACTGAGAGCAAAGCTGAGCTCCTTCTCTGCCTTAGCCAGTATCAAGATTGGAGGAAAAGGGGAGCATCTGGTAAGAAAGGCTCAAGCTTTGATGGTTTGATTTAACCTCTTGGGTATAAAAGAAAGGCAAATATGCTGTATAAGGGGGTAGAGGTGTAAGCAACTAGTTGACTAGTCCCTCAACTAGCCGCTGCCTCTATCAGAGGCAGCAAGGGGGAGGGGAGCCATCTTACAAGCTGGTACCCCCCAGCACTGTCTCCACAGGGGGCAGGAGGGCAGCGGGGTCCCTCCTGCTGCGCTTTAGCCTTTTAAATGTATTAAGAGCCTACAAGCTCTTAATATATTTAAAAGGCAGTGCCAGGGTGGGGTTAGCTCCTGATGGAAAATCCATTAACTAGTTGATGGAAAATCCATCAACTAGTCAATTAGTTGATTAAACTAAATTTAAATCCCTATAAGTGGGTACCCATGCGCTTTGCCCATTGGGTTGGGAGAGAAGGGAGGCACACTAGCAATATGAAACATGCGGGCAAAAACCTAACCAATGTACAATAAGAGCAGATTGCAGTAGACCTCTCTAATAATGGGACCTGGCATGTACAGACAACAGGGCCCATCATGTTGTACACCTGGGCTACTCAACAAAATGTGTAGCATTTCATGAAGGGACATGGAAGCTCCATGTGTTTGATAAACTCTGTGGAACTGGGATTTGAACATTTGACTTGTAAACCTGAATGGTGCTTTATCAGTTGTGCTGTACTCTGTCCCTAGGAGATTAGGTTTGTGGAGTTCTCAATAAACATTACATTTCATTCATTCAGTTTAGAAATAGATCGAAAAACTAAGGCAGAAGGATTGAGATTTGGGCCCTTCTTCAATTAACATGTCTGCCTGGTCTCAGTGTGATCAGTAGGCTAAAACTTTAGGGCTTACTGACCTGGCTGCTAATGCTTCTTGCTGTTCTTCTCCTTCCCCAGCTATGATCCCATGGTCTTTTCTTTTTCGGAGAGGTAGTTCAGCATAGTTTGGAACCTGGGACCAGTCCATACTTCAGTATCCTGCACTGCTGTTTACTATCATGTCTATTTTCTTGTTGCTAACAGGCCAACTCATGGTTGTCGCATTGGTGTTAAAACAAACAAAAAACCCTGTTTCAAAATTGTATAAGTAGTTTGTGGGGAGAATATTCCAATGTTTCTCTTGCCTCCCCTGATTACCACCATATTAGCTCCCAGGTTATAGATCACAGCTCTGCCCATCTCAACTGTTCTTTCTGTGCTGTTGTGATAATCAGATAACTGTTGACTTGCCCAGCAATAGATTTATTTTTACTCTTTGCTTAATACCTAGGGTTTGATTGCACGTTTTGTTGTGGGTTTAGGTGGCTCCATTGGGGCTATTCTATGTTTAAAATGTGTTATATGAGACCTGTGGGTAACACTACATCCATGGCAGCTTTAGTCCTGTCACTTGAGGGTGACTGATGTAAATTGTGTGTCAGATTTCTTGTATTTACCTGCCATGCCATACCCATCCTCTGGCCAGGATGTAGCTGATGGCCATGTCCTCTTTATGTTTATCTAGGCGGAGTACTCTATGTTTTGGTTTGAGCCCTTGCGTATGTTTGTGCTGGCTCCTTAGGTTTTCCTGATGCAGGTGTGGGGAAGCTTTGTAAAAGGATCAGGACTGCTGGAGATTGAGATGCCTTGGTCCTCAGCTTTCTTGTCCTATCTCAATGACACGCAAATCTGTCGTCATTCCCATTATTTTAACTCTTCCTAATAGTATTACCAGCCTGCTCTTCTGCATCATGATTGCCCCAGAGACTGGCTCATCGTCACTACTGTGCCGAGGCCACAGCATTCTGATCCAGCAGATTATTTGCTTGTAGCAGCTGGAGTTATTGAGTGGGCAGGCTTCAGAGACTTGTCGGCTCTTGCTATGCAGCAGATGCTTGGTTAAAAACCACATAAGGGGGCTGTGGAGGGAGCACCTGCTGTTCCTTATTGAGCAGCCTATTTCCTAGACTGTGCCCACACAATCGTCACACAAACACTGCAGTTCTGAAATACGTTCTTGGAGGTGTAGCTGGGAAAACACCCTGTTGGGCTGAGAGAGGCTTTAACAGGGTCATAAATATAAACCTGTTTATTATTAGAAAGGCAGCTGAAATTTTAATTTCTGAGTCTGTGGGAACCCTAAATATGGGTGTCTTGGGTAAACGATGAAGATGTTGAATAGTGGGTGTTAAGGAGGATGGTGTCTGCCAGTTGCATGTTAGGAAGTAGTAGGGGGGTCCAGTCAGAAAGAAGTGTTGGGGCTATGTAATATAGATCCAGTGGACTTTTGTCTGCACCATATTTGTCTGCTGTTGTCTGCACCATATTTGCTATTGTCTGCTGTTGTCTGCACCATATTTGTTCTGTGGATAAACAGAGGATGTCTGAGTTCTCCATTCTAACATGCAAAAGCACAACAAGATCCAATGGCTGGAAGTTGAAGCTGGAAAAGTTCAAACTGGAAATAAGGTGCAAATTTTTAGCACTGACAGCAATGAAACATCAGGACAACTTGTTGAGGAGTTTGGTGGACTCCCTGTCATGTGAACTCTTAGAAAAACACCCAGATTTGATTTTAAATACATACGCACTAGCTCAACAACAAGTTATTGAGCTCAGGGCTGGGATTACTGAGTGCAAATGTATGGCCTGTTTCATGAAGTAGGTCAGAATACATGATTATAATTGCCCCTTCTGCTCTTAAAATCTGATCACGAAGTAACCCTGAAGATCCTCTGTATGGTATTTCACTTTGGGAAGAGAGAGCCATATTGCCATTGCCCTTTCATCTTCCCCTCATTATAACCATGCAGCTTTGCTCTCTTCCTAATACACTTGCTTTTTTCAGTCCATCGTCCACCACCAAGTGTACTGTAATCTTCATCCCTTAATCATACGTGTTAAAACTCTACTGTGCTGCCTCTGTTGTCACATGATCTCTCACTGTTGTCTCCTTACTCCCCTCGTTTTATTTGTACTACCCCTTGATGAGAGAGGTGAAAATACTTCCTTAAGGCAGCTATTGGACATTTTATCTATAAAGATCCTTTTCACCCATGGGACTACACAAATAAATAACTGTGGTGCCTGCTTCCCATAAATCCCATTCTGTGGGAATCTTAGCACATTAGAAACTCACAGATGGACTGTCTGACAAATAAATTATATAGAATCACCTGTGTATTGACCCAGAGAAAGAACTTGTATTTCACCTCTTTTGTTGTTCACAGCAAACTTGAAAGCTGTGTGCGTTGGGAGGCAGAGTCCAACCGAATGCCAGGTGTGCATGAGTCATAAGCACTCAGCAGTACAGAGCTGTGCAGATAAATATGTATTTTTCTGTTCGTTTTTTCCACCTTGTGTTGCTGCACTAAAGTCAGATTTTCCTACCGTCTGATGCAAACTCTAAAAGCGTGTTTTGTGGTGTAAAAAACTCCTGTCAGCTGATCCCCCAGAGACTGAAATAGCCCACCTTTTCAGCTGTCACTTCCCTTGAAAAGTCACCATGCGTCACATTCAGAGGGGTGGCAGGGGAAGGGGACAGAGTAGGGAGAGCCTACTCGCTTCACAAAAATATCAAGTAAGCATCAGACAGGTGCTTTGGTTTATAAAGCTTTCATCTGCCCAATTGCCAGCTGCGCTGCAAGAAACACATCACTCAGTCCCACCATCACTGAGGCATCTCACTGAGCTCATGGGTCACAAATATAATTGGTTATGTTTATAAATGAGTGATTTCTTCCCTGCTGCCCCCTCTCATTGTTCTATCATTAGAACTGGTTAGTCCATTACTGTAACATTCCCTACCTAACTTAGCTGCTGCTCATCTGTGTGGTGTATGAGTGGGATTTGTTCACTGGCAAATAGGATATGGTGCGATAAATCTAAATTATGTTTGGCTCCCAAAGGAAGTTGTACACCTAACTTCCCTATTACTGCTGACCCTTTGCCCTGAAGTTTTAAATAATCATATTCCATTTTCCTATCTATGTCTAGGATCTAACACATGTTCACATTCTCCTCCTCCTGAGGAAAACCCAACAAGTATCATTTGTTCCCCTTTCACCAGTCCCAAAAGTAACTATCATTCAATGAGCCATCCCAGGCTGCACTCTGAATTACATACAAAAGGACTACAGTAAAAGAATATTAAGGTTGCAAAGGCAAGTACACAAAAGTTAGCAACTTTAATTTGGACCCCTTGTACATCTGCATTATACAGCCTTTTGTTACATGATCACATACTATTTTCACTGCCTCATTCTTTGTCCAGAGTGACAGTGGGGTCTAATGGGGGGGATCTATTCAGTATTTCTTTTTTTCCCCCCCATCATTCAGTGTCCGATCCATGCCTTATTTCTGGCATACAATTTAAACCTAGCACTCTGAATGACATACAAAAAGACTACATTAAAAGAATATTAAGGTTCCAATGGCAAACACACAAAAGTTAGAAACTTTAGCAACTTTAATTTGGACCTCTTGTGTATGTGCATTATAGAATACAGAATTATTAATTTTCTTAAGGGCTTTTCTTTGGTGCTAAGAGTAGATTTTTTAAAAAATCAATGATTTAAAAAAATAAAAATCAGATTTTATTTTAAATTTGATTTTTTTATTTTAAAAATCAATATAATTTCTCATTTAAAAATAGCTTACAATTAAATCTTATCACAAACATGCTGCATCTGCACTTATAGTCTCATAAAAATGAATGAATGCTTTTAATCTGTCCAGTTTAACAAGTTCTTGA